CCCTTCTTGTTCAAACTGTTGGCCATTAGAATTCTGTTTGAAAACTTTTTAAATAAAAATATAAAACTTTCCTGTCTCTAATTTCTGTGAGTCGGGACAGGATGGCTTCTTCTAAAGACCATCTGAAAGCTGCAGTTGGTCCAAAATGAATGAGTGTGGGTAGTTATGGGCATACCTTGGGTTATCCATGTAACAGCACTACTTTGTGAGTTTCAGTGGCCCTCTAATAGCTTCCAGGTGCAATTTAAGGTGTTGGTTATACTTACAATCCTATCGGGCAAAGGATTAAGTTATTTTTGTTGCTATCTCCTCCTAAAAACATCTGCTTCTCTCATTTTAATAGAGTGGGCATGCTTTGGATTTGTTCACTGAAACAGTGCCACATGATAGGAACCAAATAGCTGCCTTTTCAGCAGTGTTGTTTGCCCCCTGGGACAATCTCCTTTCCATTTTTCAGTTGGCCCTGTTTAGAAAGAGCTTAAAAATATGACTACCCTGAGTATTGGGGCCTGAGTAAGTTCCCATCAGGAAATTTATTTATTAAATTATTTGCTGCCCATCTTGTAACAAAACGAATTTGAAATAGTATGAATGCGAATCAGGTTGCCTTTAATTTTATTGTTTATTGTTGTTAGGGTGTGTTGTAAGCCATTTTGAGTCATATTGTTAAAGTTTAGCCAGTAGCCACATAAATTCTGCAAATAAATATTGAGTTCTTGTCATTTTTACATTGTCTAAAGCAGGGCTGTCAAATTTGCGGCCTGGAGGCCAGATGCATCATGCACAGGACACACTCATGCCCGGTTTAGCGAAGGGGGGNGGGAGATCATTCCAGAGGGCACGAAATAATATCAGGAGTGAAAAACCTCTTTTCAAAATAAAGCTCCTACTTCATTTGTGTTAATTTTTACATGCCTCTTGTGGAAAACTATCTTGTAAAACAGGATGAACTAATTGCCACTACTATATTCTAAAGTAATTGTATTCTAAAGGCTGTATTTTAAACTAATTGCCAGCACTATTTTCTTTACCATTGTAAAGAAAAGAAACACTAAAGTAATTACAACCTTTAAAATATAATAAAGATTAACAATCAAACAGGGCACTATGTAGAGTAGATTAAGAGTTGAAGAAATGCAATTTATCATTTGAAAGGCTGGCTGAAGCAAGATTCTTAATTGTGTCAATAAACAAAGAATGCAAGAGGCTGGAGACTTCTCTGCGTAGATAAATTCTTCCCTTTTAATATCTTTAGTTTGCTTCAACTTTTTCCAACTTTTGTCTCTAGAAAAAAGAGCTTTGAAAGTCTGTAGTTTAAGAATGTCTTAGAAAAAAATGTGCAGCCAAATGTGCTGAAACCTTTGGTGCTGAAACTATAGAATGTTCAGAGCAAATGCGATTCATCAGGAAACCAGGGAAAAGAACCTCTCTGGGGGCTTTGGTGCTCACTGAATTCAGCGTACTGGATATTTGTCCTTTGCTTTGTTTTGGGAAGTGTGCCTTTCCTGTCATACTACTTGAGGTTTGGAATAGATCCTTCTGGAAGTTTGGACTGCCTGACCTTGCAATATTCTTTAAATATATGGCTTTTTTTCACAAGCTATGGGACAGGTTAATGATGTGTCCTTGTGATGCTTACTGTTGATTTTGGTTGTTATCTTTCCACTAATTACATGTTTTCTCATGGTGTTTTTAAGCATTATACTGGTTTTAATTGTACAATATGCTGCACGGAATCTGCTTTCAGTTGATTTGGCCTTAAAAATTGTAGTTATAACCTAATATACATTATGCTTATACATTCATTCAAGTTATATGGTATTAAAACACATTTTTATTGGGCACTGTGAACCTGTGAAATCTGTATAAATGAGGATCTTATGAGAGGCATTTTATGTCTTGCCACTCCTCTCTGGAAGAAAAAAATCTGTAATTNTTAACTCTTATTCAGAAATAAATAAAGGTTTAGCACCATACTCTTATAGATTGCAAAAGCATGAAGACTTCCAATTGAGAGGTCTTTGGTGCTCTCTGAACTCACTTGTTCCATTACCCAAACTAGGTAACATCATCAGTGCTTTGAGTTGGAACTCATACTCAGGATCAAATAATCATTTAAATATAGATGTCCTTACCCTGTGCTATTATTAAATTAATATTTAATGGTTTTAGTTTTCTGCAAGTATAGTAAAATAGAGACTTCCAGAACTCAGTTTATAGGACTTTGAAAACAATAAACAGAACTTCATTTTAGTCTCAGACAATGGACAAAATCTATTTAGAGATAAAATGCAAAATAAAATTATCATTATTAATAAAACAGTTTAAGACATTGAAATTTTATTTCAGTATTGTGTAATTAATGAAAATGATGTAATTAAGAAAAAATTTAAAATCTCTCTGCACCAAGCACAGCTGAGTAGTGTTTATGAACTAATCGTCTACTACATTCAAATTATTTAAAACTGGGAATGTAATTTATAATTGCCCAAGCAAAGTATAATTATTCCCCTTCCCCCTTGCAGCCTAGTAACTCATATGGTACAGGTAATTGATTTTTTTATTCTTGGAAGACCTGAAGAGCCAGATTGGAGACAGATCATCTTGGAATACATGTTCACTAAGAGCATATAATTGATCAAATTCACATGTTTCTTTGAAGGGCGGAATATTAGCATTCACTCAGAACTGAGTCCTCCTAAGCCAATATTTCAAACTGGTGAATGTTTATAGGCAAGTTATAAATTGCTGGAAAAATAATGCCTTTGTATAAGTAGCTGTGACAGTACTTTTAACTACTGATCCATGAACACAACATCACTGCATTCCAGGTTATTGTAGCTGTAGCAGTGGGACTCTGGGTCATAAGAAGAATCAATCATTTCAGTTATTTAGTCTTTCAACCCCACTTTTGAATGAAACTTTCACTTATTTGTATGGCATTTTTTAAAATTTAATTTTGTCTATCAATACCTCCACTAAATTACCTAATTAACAAATGAATTCTCTAACTGCTATGAATATAAATAACTTATTATGTATGTCTGTGTCTTGTTTTTACTATGGGAAGATGAGGATTTAAGATAATGTGTTTATCTTTTAACTATAGAAGTAGAGCAATATTTGAAGGTTTTTTTTAAACAAAGTAAAGTAGTTACTGTTGCAGCAAAGATTTAAATATTTCATATTAAATATTTCTTGCTGTCAAGAGCATCATTTCTGTCTCTCCCTCCCTTTTTTATTTCTAGATCTTTCTTTTTGAAATCCACTCTCCATTCACATTCCTAATATTCCCAGAACGAACGACTCCTTTGCTGTTTCCCTAGTCACTATACCAAGTGTTAAAATGTTTATATGCTTCTATAACATGAGTAATAAGGGCAATCTAGCAATATAAGCAAATATATACTTTCTGAGCATTGTGTTATAGTATAATGGTTAAGGTGTTGGATTTTGATCAAGGAGACCCAGCTTCAAATCCACTTTTATCCATGGAAAATTACTGGGTAATTTTGGGCCAGTCACTCTCTTTCAGACTAATCCATCTCACAAAAGTGTTGTGAAGATGAAATGAAGTGCAATGTCCATGGAAACCCTCTTGAGCTTTTGAAAAACAGGATGTAGACTATCAAGTAAATACAATTCCTGTTCTAATAACTTTTTGTAAATCCAACTTGACATACTTTTCTTTCCTCAACTAAGTTACTTAGAGTGCAAGTTTATCTTTGTACTGTGTTCCAAAGTAAGTACAAATGAGTTCATTAGTTCTTACTTCCAGAAAGCGAAGGACCTTAGTATCTGGAAACCTTTATACTGAATATATATGCAGTGATTACTAGAAAGTACAAAACACATGCTTTTTTCAACATTATTCTAACATCATAACTTTAGTAATCCCAATGAGAGATTATATATTGGATTTTGTGGAACCTGGATCCTGAGGCAAAGTAAGCTAAATTGGAAAACTTTAATTCTGCTCCAAAGTGGAGTAGAAAAGTGTGAAAAATTCAAATCAGTGACTTAACAAAGTTTCGTTTTGATTTGTTTGCAAGAAGACCTGTAAAAAGTGCTAAAGGTGAAAAAAGTGGGAGGTACATTTCTTCATGCACTTAAGTAAACATTAAGGTAGTGAAAATGTGTGAGAAACATAATTGGGATGCTTCCTCTGCTTGAGAAGATTTTTAAACTTCTCAAACTTTTAAATGTTTAAAGTTGAGAATATTTTGAAACAGTCTTACAGGCCCTTTGTACACAGCAATGACAATGACAAATCATTCCGTTTTTTGGAAGCTGTATATGAATTATTTATTTAAAATGTGTCTGAAATTACCATTCATTTTAAGAATAAGATACTGCATGAATAAATATCTGTGGACAGATGCAAGGACAAGACTTTTTCTTGGTTTCAGTCATTCATTTTAAATGATATCTATGTTAAAACACTTTTTAGAGGAAAGATAGAATTTAAATAAACAGTGCTTAGGAATATACTAATAAATGTAGGAGATTGGGCCTTGATTTGGATATTCTCATTCTTTATCTACAAAGAATTTTGAATTTGAATGAACAGCCAAACAATGCTCAATTTGTTGAATTCCAATCAGATCTGCAATAAATAAAACATTGGTATTTAATAATTTGTGGGCTAATTTTAACTGTGGATTTTTATGAGAATAGTTTTTTTTCCTGGATGTTATATCAATTAATTCAGCTGCACAGTCCTTAGCAACTAGTATCAAAATGGTTGATATTTCAGCTGAATTGTAGGTAGCTTTAAAATTGTATATGGTTTTGTGCTGTATCAACCATCTTAAAGGAGAACATGGAAGAAAAACATTAACTGTATTTCTCCTTGGTATCGAAGTTCTCCTCTAAAATATGCTTCCAGATTTCCATGTAAGCAATGAATGTTAGTAATCAGACATGAGACCTTTGAGATGTGTATTATATAGATGGATGTTTAGCATGAGATTTATGGAAACAGAAACCGGTTTGCAGTTACCACCAATTAACATTTCACTTCCGATTTGCAGGAATTGGGTAGCCTTGGTGCATTAGGTACAACTTCTGCGCTATGGGAAAAAGAAACAAGAGGACAGCAGATAGTTCGTCCTCTGAAGAAGAGGAGGAATATGTTGTGGAGAAGGTTCTAGACAGGCGTGTTGTGAAGGGTCAAGTGGAGTATCTTCTCAAGTGGAAAGGATTCTCTGAGTAAGTCCAACTTTCCTTCTGACATGGGCTTTGATCTTTCTTGGTAGCAGAGCTCCAGGCAGTGTTTCAAATTAAAATCCATTGCCGTTATTCAAGCTTTCCCTTAAAGGAGGAAGGTAAATCCCACAGGTGGGAGCTTGCTTTGCTCACTCCAAATAAGAGTGGCGTGCATCCATTTAAATAAGTGGGTCATGAGGCAAAGCCTGGGACCTTAAAATGTGTTTTGGAAATACTGGCATCTGCGTTCCCTCTCTCACTTCACAGAGTTGGTAGTTCCACTTGAGTTATTCACCAGCACTATTGCTTCATGAAGAAAAAAAAAGTTAATTCCCTGCACTCCACACTATAATATATTCTACAAAAATTCTGTGATCTTAGCTTCCCCGTTTTGAATTGGACTTTTGTCCCACTTGGCTAATAAAAGCAGTCAAGCAGGGGACTAGAAGTAGGATCCAGGCTGTAATCAATCATTTTTTTTGAGAGAAGGGGAATTCCTAGAAGCCCCTAAAGAAGAACTTCCTTAAAACACAGGACTAGATACAACAAACATCCTCTTCCTTTTTTGATTAAGTGGTGGTGCTGCAATTGCAGAAGGCTCTGGAGGGAGGATTATCTTAGCCCTTGGTAGTTTGGGTTCAGACCTGAGCATGGGATGGAAGCATATTGGTCACTCTTCTGACTGTCCTACAGTGAGACTTGGATGTGACCATCCTTGTTTTTCTGAATCTCTTTGATACCATCAAACAGTCCTTCTGGATTGCCTGCAAGGGGTGAGAGTTGGAGGCATGATGCTGTAATGGTTCCACTCCTATCTGAGGTATCCAGATGTTGACTGTGGAGGGAAAGAGGCCAGACTCCTAGACAATTCTATATGAGGTCCCTAGTTTAGTCTTTTCCCCTATCCTCTTCAACATCTATATGAAATCACTGGGAGAAGTTACCTGTTGGTTTGGATCCAAGTATCATCTATAAGTGATTGCACTTCTCTACCCTAGGCCTACTAGGAGAAAGAGAGAAATCATGACCTGATGTCTGGAGGCAGTCACAGTCTGAGTGGGGAAAAGCAGGTTCAAACTCAACCCAAGCAAGACAGAGTAGTTATTGTTTCAGAGAATGTCTGATTCCAGGATTGCACCAGCTTTGTGCACCTTTGGGGAAAGCACACAATTGCAATCAGTTTGTGTTTGTGAATGGCTACTGGTCAAAGACCGGGTGGAGACCATGGCCAGAAGGGCTTTTGCACAGCTTCAACTGGTTCACCAGTGCAGCTTCCTTGGAACACAGTGCACTGAAGATGACTTCACGCCTTTCTCATCTTCAAATAAGATTACTATAACCTGCTGTTCTTGGAGCTGCCCTTGAGGACTGTGTGGAAGCTTCACACAATATGCATGCTCAGCTAAGAATTACAAAACTGCCTCTATGGCAGGAGCTGCATTGGTTATCAGTAAGTTTCCAAGTGCAATTCAAGATTCTGATAATTATCTACGAAGTCCTACAATGGTTCAAAACCTGGGCATCTTAGGTAGTGTTTTTCCCAGCTGTTTCTGTCCTCCTACCCAAACAACTAAGAGTTGCCAACCTATCAGGAAGTACTACAGGGAGGGGAGACGCTAGTGATGGGTGTTCTCTGTAGCAGCTCCCTCCTTTAGAAAACCTTGTCCTCAAGGCAAGGATCCTCAGGACCTTTCAAAAGCAGGCAGATGCATGGTTCTTTTGGAAGGCCTTGAGGATTAATTTTTACCATGGCATCATATTCAATAAATTTAACATTGTTTTTAACATCAAATCAGATTGAAATTTAATTGAATTACCATTTTAATTAATGTCATCTCTCTATTGCATCATAGGGAAATTTTGTAAGCACCTTGAAGGCTATAAATCCAAGCACAGAATTTTGGTATTGGATGTTAAACAGCATCCTAGATATTTTCGTTTTTACTTTTTAAAAACTTTTCTAGCTGCTATAGCGATTAAAGTAAGTTGAAAACTGCAAGATAATGCCTGAAAATCTGTGAAGCCAAGATAGGCCAAGCAGAATTTCCAGGATTATGTAATGGAACTCAAGTGAATAGATAACTGCACAGTTGAATGTATCAGAGCAAGATATGCAGAAGAGTGGGGGCGTTTTAAGCACCCAAGATGAACATTCTTTCTCACTTAACTTACTACAAAATAATTGCTCTCAAAAAGATGTTTGTGAATATGTGTATTCATATGTATTTGTATCCTGGTTTATCAACCTGGTTATGCCAGATAGCTTTACAGTTCCAAAAGATCAAAGTGGGTTATCTGTTTATAGAATCATTATCTACAAGATTCAGATTTGAGGATGTGATATTTAAATGGATGCACACTACTTGATTGTAGGAAGGCAAATCCATCAAGCCAATATTGAGGTGTTGACCTATTGTGTAGCAACTGAAACAGCAAGTCCCTCTGCTATCACAGCAAAAAATGAGAAACTTTCTATATTTGGCAATATTTCAGTTAATCAGACTTCCTGAGGTCTTACTCTGTCTTACTCTGTTACCGAGGTAAAATAACTGTTGATTATTAATCTCCCAGACTTGCTAGGAGTTGGGTGGCATGTAAGCTTAATTCTTTTTATTATTTCCAAGATGCTTTGATATATATGGTATTTTGCTGTGATCTTATTTATTTAGCATATGCGATCGATATATTGGATACAAATTAGCCTAATTGACCTGTGGGATTTTTGCCCATTCATCTCATCATGTCTTTTTTCCTTGAGTGGATTTCTTTAATTTCTTCTTCTAACCTGGATAAAGTGTTTCTTTGAGAGTCAGACATTAGTTTGCTGCCATGAGGTTTTAATTGGCTTTAATAAAGGGTTATCATATTATTTATTAACATTTATTTAACATCTTAATTACTATTTTAAGAAACTGGATGTATAAGATAAGGGTGTCTTCTGACAAATACTTTGCATTTTAAATGTCATGCTGATTTGGTATACAGGAAACCCACCTAATAGTTGGGAAAATGCCCTTTGCCTGGATATGTTCCATTTGTGAAAGTGATTCTTAGAATATGCATTTTTATAATAAGATGTACATCTAATGTTTTATACAGGTAGTCCTTGCCTTACAACCACAATTGAGCCCACAATTTATGTTGCTACGTGAGTTTTGTTCCATTTTACAATTTTTCTTGCCACATTTGTTAAGTAAATCACTGCAGTTGTTAAATTAGTAACATGGTTACAACTATTCCCTTGTTAAGTGATTCTGGCTTCCCCATTGACTTTGCTTGTCAGAAGATTGCAAAAGGGATCACATTACTTCAGGGCACAGCAACCGTCATAAATGTGAGTTAGTTGTCACACATTCA